CATTGAATATTCATTTTCCCCCTAAAGGATTATACTCGGTTTTGCTGGGTAGGTTATTCTCAGTTGCAATCCTAGCTTCTTTGCCCTCCTATCATATTCTAAGCCCTCCTCAATCTATTTTACAGGTCAGCTGGTTTTCCAATGAGATACGTTCACATTTTCTTCGATTCTTTCATTCTTCCGATTTTGTTTTATTCTTTCTTGGTGTCTCATGGATTCATTAACTTCCACTAATCCAATTCTAATTTTTAAGGAATTATTTTCTTCAGTGAGCTTTTGTACTTCTTTTTCCACTTGTCCAACTTTGTGTTCTTCTCTTCGGTGGATGGTCTTTCTTTTATCAAGCTGTTGACTCTTTTTTCATCATTTTCTACATCACTCTCATTTCTTTTCCCAATGTTTCCTCTCTCTCTTATTTGATTTTTTAAAATCTTTTTTGAGGTTTTTCATGAAATTCTTATTGTGTTTGTATCTACCTCACATTTTTCTTTGAGACTATGCTTGTAGCTGCTTTGATATCATTGTCGTCTTCTGGGTTAGTGGCTTTGATCTTCCCTGTCACCATAATAACTTATGGAACTCAGGTTTCTTTTTTGTGGTTTGTTCATTTTTCCAGCCTACTTACTGACTTTTAACTTTATCTTAAAGTTGTGTTCTTACCCTAGGGTGGAAGAGACAATGTCCCAAGCTTCAGACCCTTCATGCTGCTGTTTTCAGAGCTAGCTCTGGAGGTCTGTAGGTTTTTGGTGCTTCCAAGGTGTTGTGATCTAAGGAGAGGGGTGGTCCCTGCTCTCCTGGACTGTGCTCCAGTCTTTATCCAGGAAGGGGCCTTGTTCCCCTATAGCCATCAGTACTAGCACTGCTGCAGGCCCTGGGACTATAACTAGGGCCCCCACTCTCCTGCAATCACAACTGCTAGTGCTCACCTCTGTCTTAGAATTGATAACAAGATTCCTACTCCCCCCTGAGTGACCACAAGCACTCCTCTCTGCCTTGGCACAACTAGGGCCACTGATCCCCTGTGGCTGCAAGTGCTATCATTCCTTTTGGCCCTGAGGCTGCGACCCAGAACTGTGTATGGGCAATGCAACAGGACCCTGATGCCAGCACTGGCAAAGGGTACCCTGTTATCTCCTTCCAAAGAGTTGTCTGACAGTACCATGACCCCAACTGTGTAGGGGCTGAGAACTGCCCCCGCTGCTGCTGCCACCAATGCAGCCATTGCTGGCAGTGCAGGTTGAGGACATACAGGCAATGTCCCTCATGATTTAAGAGACTACAAAATATTTTTGTCCCATTGTCTTTCTAGACCTTGTTTGGTAGGGGATGTAGTAACATACTAGGAATTATCTGTCATTCAAGTGGAAAGGAAGAAAAGAGGAGGAAAAAATTATGGAAGATCCAGAGAAAAGGGGGGAAAGTATGGATCTACTATTTTACTAAATTAATGCAACAAAATGTGGAAGGGTTTAAGGCAGGAAAAGGAACATGAGCTCATAGTTTTGTTTTGTTTTTTCACTCAGAGGGTACAGGGGAACAAGGGAATCTTAGTGTTACAATAAGAAGTCTTTCCCAATCCCTCTTTATTCTAATGCCTTCCTTCTGCTAATTATTTTTTATGGTAATGTATATAGTTTGTTTGAACATACATGTTTTCTTGTTGTCTCTTCTATTAGAGATTGTTAGTTCCTTGAGGACAGGGGCTATCTTTTGCCTTTTTTTGTATCCCTAGCACTTAGCACAGTGCCTGGCATATAGCAAACACTTAATAAATGCCTAATAACTGATAATAGGATTAAGGGACTTTCGGTTCCAATTGAGCACACAGAGGGTGTTCAAAAGGAAACATGTCAAAGCTAATAGATAAACACCATACTTTAGCTATTTTTCTGGCTCCACTGTAAAGAAGTTTAATGTTAAGGATAACTGTACCTTCGCTAAAGTAGGAAGCGAAGCAGTAAAGATGGAGAAGGAAAAGTTGCAGAGATCTTACATTTGGTTCAAAAAAGTAACTCTACATGCACAAGATGAAAAAGGTTGCTATGAGTCAGTGTGATAATGAAGTCTTAGGCTACATTAATTAGCTGTCTTGGTCAAACAACAACTGAAATACTGTGATCAGTTTGAGGCACTAGATGCTGGGAAATTAACCAATAAAGTAGAAAATTTCCAGAAAGGATGAACAAGATAGTGGTCTTGAGATCATGTTTTATGATAATTGGTTAAAGGAATGAAGAAGAGAAAACTTAGCAAGGAAATAATATAACAGTTGTGTTCAAGTCTGGGAATGGCTGTGGATAATGAATTAGATATGTTCTGTTTGGCCCAGAGAGCAGAACCAATAGCAGTGGGTAGAAGGTACAAAGAGATAAATTTTGGCTCAATGCAAGAAAAAAATTTCCTAACAATTAGCTCTATCCAAAAGTAGAATGGAGGGGCTGCTAGGTGGCGCAGTGGATAGAGAACTGGCCCTGGACTCAGGAGGACCTGAGTTCAAATCTGGGCTCAGACACATAACACTTACTAGCTGTGTGACCCTGGGCAAGTCACTTAACCTCATTGCCTAACCAAAAACAAACAAACAAACAAACAAAAGTAGAATGGATCTTCAAGTAAAGGTTTGTATCCTATAGAAAGGACTCTTGTATAATAAAAGAGTTGGGAGATTCTCTGATTCTGTGGATGAGACAGGTATCTATGTTTTCAGTGTAATGTACATGCAAAGAACAAACAGTTGATTAGGTTTTCATTCACAATCTTTTATTTGTGTGCTATACACATAAAGTCTAATGAACCAATATTAAATGCTTATGTCATGAAGTGTGAAAATTGCTCAGAATCCTGAGGACCCTAGCTAAAGAACAGGGAGTTGTAAGCTCTAACTGAAATTGACACAATCCCCACAATTCCTACTGCCAGGCATCATTCTTCCGTGTCATATTTATAAAACTACCCAAAAACTAAGTTAAATATTCATTAGGCACTAGTCACTAGAAATACAGAGATGAGACAGACAGACAGTTCCTTAAGGAACTTGTGTGCTACTGTAAGCCCAAACTAAAAAACCATAGGAAAATAGCTACAATAAAAAGTAAGATCAAGTAATCTATAAGTAAATCTGTGACAGTAATAAAAAATCAAGAAAAGAGATATAAAACTATCCACATTTAAGCTAAACACACCTAGTTTTCAATATTTAAAAAGTACACGTATGGACACACATACACACCACTTGAACTTCAAACACCTCTTTCTTACTAAGTCTGAATTAATGTGTCGTAAGTGATAACAGGATATCAGTGAAACTTTTTAGCTGTTCTAAATGGTCACTTTTTGTGGCAATGCCATTAGACAGCTAGGAAATATTTACTGTAGTTTTCAACAACTGAATTACTCTATATACATCTCCCCTCAATTCAGTTCAATTATGGAATTAATGATGATGGTGGGAGACCAGTTACAAAAGTCCTCTTAGCAACTAGTATAGTACTATATGAAGGGGGAAAAAAATACTTGGTCTCATGTGGGAAAGACCTGGTTAAAGTGAAGCATAAGGTTCAAAATGTCTTCCCCTCTATGAAAATAAATTCAAAGCAACCAAGGTATGTGTTATCAAAGTCAAAGGATCATAATAGATCTAGAGTTACCAGGGTCCTTAAAGATCATCTTATCCAGTCTCATGAACCCATTATTTCATAGATATGGAACTTACAGCCCAGAAAAGTCAGATCACTTGCCCAAGGTCACACAGTTTTAAATGGAAGAGATGGGATTTGAACCCAGATGCTATGATTAATTTCAGTGCTCTTTTCACTATACAAATATAGATACATTATATTTTAAAGCCATTTCTGGTGATTCTAGTGTTCATAAACCAATTTAACAATTACATATCATTCAGAAGAATATGAAGAAAAAAACAAGCGATAATTCTTTTGTTACTTCTTTGAGCAACTCTGGTAAAAGTCTAGTGAGAAAAACCATTGCACCCACATTTGCTGAAACAATATAGTCCATGTAATTTCATTTAAGTACATTATTTTCTCATCTCACAAGTATGGATCATCAAGAAGACCATATAAAGAGCCCATTGGATAATAAGGAAATATTTTAAGAATTCTTCTATTTACTGATCCTCTAAAAATAAAAGAAAAAGTAGTCCCTCATGATAAGACAAAAAAAAAAGAAAATAGGCAATAGAAAAAGAGGAAACAGCAAGCAATTTGAAAAAAGCTTAGTTTTTGAATGATTTACATTCCAATTTTCACATCAACCTGGTTGCCTATGACTATTTTTATCAGTAGAAATCACAAGTAACTTATTAATTCATTATCTAATAAAACACAAGTATAGCAAGCTCTTATCTAGAATGGTAGGGGAAACAGGAAGATCAAGTTAATATTAATATTCTGGTTAAGAAGTAGTTATCACATGTATTACATATGAATATATTTAAATGTATACATACATATTTACAAAAACCATATTCAGAGTATTCATTTTCAAATAAGAATATAAAAATACACTTACTACTAAGTACTACTGACAAAATTTTCTTTGATAATTCACAAGGTACCTTAGTGCTTAGACATTCCTTAATATTTGTCATCAATATAAACATCAATTATCATTTTAGAATACTGTAGATGCAGAAGGCATAGAGACAAAACCAAATCTGTGCTGGCCATTTTACATAGCCCAGAAGTTGCTTGTTTTTCATTAATTCCTTGATAAATTATTTATTTGTCTCTCTCTCATATGAGTAAATATACAAAGAAAAATCTATTATTTAAGTTTTTGACTAGTCCGCATTTTAGCTAAATGATTTTACTGTGCTAAATAGTATAGTATTTTAAAATTTAACCCAAGCTTCTATCTCTTTTTTAAAAATCAACACCAACAAATATTTATTGAGCATCTACCATATGAAAAATCTGATGGAAGAAATTCAGGGAGGAAAATGAACTTAAAACAAAGGAAATTCAGTTCCCATTACTTACCAAGGCACAAAATTTAGTAAGGTCAACAGTAACACTTCTTACGTTTTCCAACCTTAGAGGCCTGAAAGTAAAAATATATATATATATACAAATGTACACTGAATGACCGGGAAAGTATGTATATATTAATAAAATATAAGCATTAGGCAAGATTAACTTTAAAGATTAAAAAAAGGCCAAGTAAACTGGTAAGTATAAGCTAACGTGGTTTCTTATAAAATATAGTACCAATGACACAATAAATACAGCACAAACACAACTGTGAACAATCTAGGGTCTTCCAGTACTATCTAGTCATTTCAAAAGTACTTTCTGGTATTACAGAAAGGTATTTTAGAAAGGGAAAAAAAGGTGATTCTAGAAAAGGCATGGTCATCAACTTGGAGGAGCTTAGACTCCAGTTTCCACACAACTGAAAAATATAGTTAAATAGCAGTCAAATATTTATAATGTCAAGCACACATTTTTGTGTATATATATCAAAGACTATACATAATTTCTCTCTTTGTACCCCCTTAAAGTATCTTTCAAAAATGTTCAATGCTTGACATCTATGCTATAGGGGGAATATAAAGACTAGTGCAGTTTTCCCCTACATTTCTTTGCTTATTCAATGAAAGCCTCCTCAAAGAAATTACAAACTCTGGACTGGGACCTGAAGAATGAGATGGCAAACAGCTTGGCTTAAACAGAATGAGAGGCTAGTCTCACACAACAAGACAGCAAATGCATTCAGGAAAACAGATTAAAGGGCTGTAGTGCAAATGATATTTTGCCAGTAAAAATACTTCCTCGGGGAAATTAATTATTTCTGTGAATAGAAGTATCCAAGTAAGACAGAAAGCATACAAGGTGGTCTTTTGTTTCTTCTATATAAAAATAATGTGGTATATTGGGATAAGCTTCAAGTTAGAATGCCTATCTTTTAAGAACTTTATCACCTGTGAACTTATGAATCTGTGAGCCTCAACTTAACTAATCTACAAAACTAGAGTAAGAGTACTTTGTACTACCTACTTAATAAGAATACATCAATTGTGTATCATAAAATATTATCAAAATGGTATCAAGCAAAAATTTTTTTTTATTTCCCCAAAATCTTTCATGTTGGTGACCCCTTTATCATAGCTCTGAATACTATCTGGAAAGGACAGAATTCATCAGTGGCTAAACTCTTTCTTCTCTCTGCTTACTCTCTTCCATTATCCATTTTGTTTAAAACATAAATGTTCATTTAAATGATTATTTTTAATTTTTCCAATATCTACTTTTCAGAGTGATTCACCAAAAAGAATACACACTGAAGCACACCCAGGCTGTGATCCAGTCCAGACCAAGAGGGTCTGGAACTCTGATTCACTGTTGTAGGGAATTCCTGGTAGAGAAACTCTATCAAAGCAGATCAGCAACTGCTCAACTGCATCAACAGATGGTTCCACTGAGACATTAAGTGATTGCGTAGGGTCACAGAGCCACTATATGTCCTAGGTCTCCCTGACTCTGAGGCCACCCCTCTTTACACTGTGCAGGCCACCTCTGGCTGCCTCTAGAAACCTTCACTTTATGATAAGCATATTTACCATTTTAAGATACAAATCATGGCTTATTTGCCAAGTAACATTAATCTAAAAGGACAACCTGTTACTTAATCTCCAGGAAAGACAAGATTGAATTTATTCAATTCAAATTACTGCAGCAAGTATTTAAGTACCTATTATCTATGGCCTAGGCACCATGGGGAAAAAAACACAAAAATAATAAATGAAAAAGCATTTATTAAAAGCTTACTATGTGCCAACGAATCAGTATCTGCCCTTAAGGAACTGACAGTCTATTATAGTGCAATGATAGGAATGCAAATAATTAAATATAAAATATCTACAAATAAATATGATGTGATTTAGGGACACATTATTAGTTTAGGGGGATAAGCCTCCTTTGAAGTGACATTTGACCTGAACCCCAAAGAAAGCTAGGAATTCTAAAAGGGAGTATATCCCAGGCAAGAAGCACAATCTGCGAAGTCTGAAAGATGGAATATCCTATAAAATGGGCATAACCAGTAGGCCAATTTGTCTGGAACTTTTGTTGTTGCTGTTATCCAGTTGTTTCAGTCATGTCCAACTCTTTGTGACCCCATTTGAGGTTTTCTTGGCAGGGATATTGCAGTGGTTTGCACTTCCCTCTCCACTCATTTTACAGATGAAGCATAAGTGACTTGCCCAGGGTCACACAGCCAGTAAGTGTCTGAGGCCAGGTTTGAATCAAGAGGATGTCTTCCTGACTCCAGCCGAGCACTCTATCCACTGCGCCCCCTAGCTGCCGCCTTGTCTAGAACTAGAATATATTAAAGGAAGCAGTGGTCAACAGGCCTGAAAAGAAGGGCTGGGGTCAGAATGCAAATGGATTTAAATGCTAAGAGAGGAGTTGTATCTTCCGTACAGGCTTTGCGCAGTCACTGTTGCATAGAGGAGCAATGTGGTCAGACATGTAATTTAGGAATAACATTCTGGCAACTACGTGGAAGACATACTGAGGAAGACAGACTTGAGTCAAGGAGAACAATTAGGGGGCTACTGTAATAGTGGCAAGAGAGGATGAGGTTCTCAACTACAGTGATAGTAATGTGAGTGGAGAGTAGGGGACAGAAGCGAGCAATGTTGTAGAGGAATAGACTTGGAAAATGAATTGGATACGTGGATGTCACCTAGGTTGCCATCCTAGGTGACTGGATCAATAGAAAAAGGAGAAGTTAGTCAGAGAGGCAGATTTGGGAATGGAGGGGGAAACAGAAGGGTAGAGTAATAAGTTCTATTTCGGACTAGTTGATTTGAGATGATTATGGCAAACCTAGTTGGTAACATCCAGTAGGAAGCTAGTAATGTGGTGCTGGAACTCAGCAGGGAAACTATGGTTGAATATATAACTCTAAGGGTCACCTGCACACGTACAGATAGGTTGATGGCTTTCCTTTCTAGAGCTCTCTAAGATTTACAAAGCTTTTTCTTCATAACATGAAGAATACAGTAGAATTTTTATCATTTTGTTGTTAAAGCTAGTAGTATCAAACACTATTAGAGGGGAATGGGGAAATTTAGCTAAAGTGTCCTGGAAAAAGTATGTTTCAAGCTCAGTTTTAAAGTAAGACTTGGAAAAGGAGAGGGAGAAGAATATTGAGAAGATGGGGAGGGAATAGTATGAACAAAGTGTCATGCTTAGTTGGCTGCAGCAGGCTAGAATTCATTGTGAAAGAATTAATTAAATTGATGAGTTTGGGGCTGGAAGAGGATGAAATTATCAGTAAATTAATGAATACTGGGTAGTATGAATGAAAACAGCTTTAAAAGTTATTTTAGGGAGCAGCAAGGTGGCGCAGTAGATAGAGCACGGGCCCTGAAGTCAGGAAGACTTGGTTTCAAATTCGGCCTCACACACATGACACTTACTAGCTGTGTGACCCTGGGCAAGTCACTTAATGCCAACTGCCTAAAAAAAAAAAGAAATAAAGAAAAGTCACTTTACCTCTTTTTGTCTCAGTTTCTTCATCTGTTAAAATAAGGATGATAATATTTTCAAGGTTATAGTCCCTTGCTTCCCACTCCAGGTGTCTGGCTTTGGATAAAACACTAAAGCCTTTTCTGGGTCTCAGTTTTCCCAGTGGGGATCAGAATAGTTCAAGGGAACTAAGGTTTTTCAAATGTTCACAACTCTACATGAGTCTATGAATTTTAATTTCATCAGTTTAAAATAAAGTACTTTCAAAGAGCAAGTGTCATATTCAGTTCCAGGAAGTTACTTTTAGCCAAATTTCCCCTTTCCCCTCCAATAGTATTTGGTACCCCTAGCTATAAAAACAAAAATAATTATTAGTAGTATTTTATATTACAAGTTCCCAGATAATGAGACCTTATCTTTTATTTTTCTTATATATATAGCACCTAATATATACTAATTACATACAGTGGGCACTTCCCATTTAGTAAATGCAGCTGACTAACAACAGCAAAAATCATGTAGTAATCCACTAACTAAACATTTCTAATAAGAATGATTTCATCCCCTTACAATCTCCTCATAGTAAAATTTCGCTGACCCACTATTTTCCCCCAATTTTATGAGGTTTCAAAACTGATCCTGAAAATATGTTTATCCATCACCTAGTACTGCCAGTCTTTAATGGTAAGGTAAAGATAAATGGAACCAGTGAAAAGAACATTAGCTACTATATGAAAAGAAGTATCGTGGGAGGGAGTGAAAAAGAAAAGGAACAGAAATGAAGAATAAGTTAAAAGGAGGGGAGGGGGGAGAGTGAAACGGCAAACAGCTCCATCTCTAATTCCAGGGCAGTTATTAGACAAATAGAGACTGACTACTCGCCAAGCATAGTGCTGGAAGTACCAAGAGAAGAATTCCAGATGGGTAAGAAGAAAAAGGAAACAAACTTTAGGATGAGAATCTCAGAGGGAAATACTGTAGCAAAAAAAAAAAAAAGAAAAAGAACTAACAGACTTTTGGAATACAAACCAAATTTGAGAGGCTCTGAATAGTGTACTTTTTCCCTCATATTTTTTTTGGGGGGGGGGGGTCTAGATCTGTGATTTCTTCAGTATAGGGAGCTCTGAGTGAGGTAACGTCTACCACTGTTCTACAAGCTAAAGCCTGTGGTACTGAGAACTTAAGAACCTTCACCTGTATCATACAGCCCATCGGTGCATGCGGCAGAGGCAAAACTTAAATAGATATCTGTCATCCTGACTCTGAGGCGGGCTCTCTATGCACTGACTATTATGCAATAATTTTACTTTTCACAGAAGTTAACTCTTTGCAAAGTGCCAAAAAATTTTTTAATCTAGTTCAAGCAAAAGACCATCTCAGAAACCAAAATCAACTAATCAACAAGTATTTCTTGTGAGTCTGCAGACACTGTTCCAAGTGTTAAGGGGATATCAAAAGGTAAAAAGAATGTAATTAGTTTCCTTTAAAGAATTAGCTGGATTAGGGTTTTTTTTTAAATGACAATTCACAAGAGGAAATTTAAATACTACATTTTAAGAACATATC